AGAAAAGCAAACTGATAAGCAGATTTTTTTTTTTTCTCTCTGCTGCTGTACAAGTCCATATCTTGCTGTTCAGCCAGAAGAGTTGCGCAGAGGTGCATCTCCGACACGTTGCATTTGTTTCGAAGCAGCAAGAACATCTGACACCACTGCGGTCCGAGTCCAGTAGTCACAACTGTTACGAACATAAAGTCAGGGAAGTTGCCTTCACTTCGCTTGAGTTGGTCTCGTATTTCTCTGCACCTCTTGATGTATAGTAGGTCTCTCCTTCTGGTTTTATCTCCACGTTGTTCAGTTGCGAGTTGAGCCTACTCTATGTAACGTCGTCTGTTGCTTGATAAATCGGCTTCAAGTGTTGTGAGGCTAACTCTGCTGAGTCATACAGGCTAACCCTGTATGATCGAATGCCTTGTTGTTCTGTGGGTGATGGTTAAGAAGAAGAATCGTAAACGCCATCATTGACTCAAAATGGAAACCACGCTGCTACTCAAGCGTGCCGTAAACGGAAAACTAGGCCTTTCTTGTCATATACTTCCAAATATGTGCTGCTTCCATCCTTAGTTCTAGTTTAAAACTCCAAGCGAATAAATCCTTTCCGTCGAAAGCGTTTAAAGTTTAAAACTTCAAGATGTTGAGAATCTATGTTTGATAGTCTGTCTCGTCTTTAACTCTCATACAATCTCCATCATGTTGTTGTTGCTGTTGCTCTTGCGCAGGTACCTAGGGCCTCAAAAGTCAGGGTTTTACCCTGAATTCCTGAAGTTTGACCCCATGACCTTAATGCATCAGTTTTTCAATTTCGGACTCTGGATTCTCAGTTTTTATATCGAGCACGACCGTGAATCTGAAATTCCTGTCTTGCCTTTTCGCCGTGATTGGCGCCGTGACTTGCTAGGCAGCCAACCACGGTACCTACAGTGCGTTTCCGCCATGATTGAGCCCATGAGCGATAATGATTGCCCAAAATTGCTAAGCAAAGTCCCTTGATGAGTACGGGGATAACAATCAACGTAACAATGAATAACAGTACTGACTGTTCAGCCTTTATATTTTTTGTACACTGAAAAATCAGTGTTTTCAACACGATGACACTGAAAATCAGCGTTGCCCTTCAAGGGACACCGAGCAATCAGCGTGCCCCAAAACGAATCTGAGGGCCTTGGTAGACCCAAGGGTAAAATCGCGAAAGTGGTCGGCGACTGCTCTCTAGGCGGAACACGGTAAGAAACTGGATGCCATTGTTGTTGCGTATAAGATATAAGATAGCTCATCGATACTCATAGGTGCCATCCCCATATTCACCGATGTTTATGTTTGTGGTACTTGCTGTACTTGTGGCGTTAATATCATAAATGCTCATAAACACTGAAAGACTTGTTGTATTGTAGGATCGATGGCATCTGCGCCATCTCCATGTTGAAATAGGAAGCTAAGTAAAGCCTAGGGTTTAAGCTTAGGGAGGTAGCGAGAGGAAAATGTAAGCCAAAAAGAGAGTCTTGCTAATGAGAATTGTGAGTACAAATAGCAAACAGCAACACAAGGAGGTGCACCACCAAACATAATGCAATAATTACGCTACAACTGCAAAAGATTTTATAAAATATGCAAACATATTTTGACACGCCCCCATAATTGTTTGCAGGAGTAAGTGTAAAACGCCCCTCTGACGGGGTACACCAGGAGTAGGCTCTGTGGCTGCAACGTGCAGCAGGACAGCAGCGGCTCGACGGCAGCACCTGAAGGCCCTAGGAGCAGGCAGCAGAAACAAGGGCAGGTGGCGGCAGGGGCGGCAGCAGGAGGTGACACGGTAGCAGTGGGTGGCAGCTGCAGATGCCTGGCTGACTTCTGCCACCCTCTCTTACCCTCCCCCCCACAGCTGCACGAGCAGCAGTGTGAGAGAGAGAGGAGGGGCGCCTGCTAGCTTTGCAGAATCTCTCTCGTTACACCCTCACACTCCCCCCGTTTCCCCTCACCCTCCCCCCGCAACCTCTCCCCCTTCTCACGGCGGAAGCCTCGGAAGGGAGGGGAGGGGGGGGGGGGGGGGGGGGCCTGCCGATGGCGCTGGCGTCCGCATTGGCGCCTGGCGTTAGCGTCAGCGACGACGTCAGGCGCTGGCGTTCGCACTGCCGCCGGGCGCTGGCGGCCGCGTTCGGCGCTGGGCGCTGGCGGGGGCCCGAAACGAGGCAGGATCTGACGCCGTCAGCGCAGCTCGCCATCACGAGCAGCGTGACGGATGGAAGCTGCACGACGGGCAGCACCAAGATGGGAGCGACGGGGGGGGGGCGGAGGGGGGAGGGGGGGGTCATAAACGAAAATAAACTGCAGGCCTAGGTGAACCAGGCTCAAGATACCATGTTGAAATAGAAGCTATGTAAAACCTAGGGTTTAGGCTTAGGGAGGTAGCGAGAGGAAAATGTAAGCCAAAAAGAGAGTTTCATTACTGAGAATTGAGAGTACAAATAGGCAAACATGAACACAAGGAGGTGCACCACCAAACATAATGCAATAACTACACTACAATTGCAAATGATTATATAAAATATGTAAACATATTTTGACACTCCATTAGCAGTATCAACGGGGAAGATCCTCATGCGTCTCCTGATCTAGCTGCAGATGCAGCTGTTGGAGCAGGGCTGGCAAAGGTCACAGCAGAGCCAAAAAGTGGTGGTGTGGAGGGTTGCTGCGTATCAGTACCTCCACTTGCTGCGATGTGTGATTTACCGTTGTTGACGCTTGCCATGTACCGTATAGTTCCGGCTATAAGTGTTAGAATCCCAACCACTAACCATTGGGATAAAAGGGCTTGTTTGTGTAGCGGGTGAGTGCGCCCATAACGCCCCTGGCCAAAGTGCCCGTAACCCTTCCCTAGGATCAATCGGGGATTTCTAGTGGACCTCTCACAATAAGACCCGCCGGTAAGATGGTCCCCCGGGTCTCTTGAATGGGTTGTGGCAGGTTTTGTGAGGATCAGGGCCTACATTATCAGAAATTTCCTGTCTGAATTTCTGGATTCTGAACATGTTTTCACTGGTTCATCTGATGTCGTATACATGTAGTTTAATTTCATCTGATTTTCTAGAGAAGCTTCTTCTATTCATCTGATTTCTCAGACAACCTTATACAGTTTGTCTGAGACTGCAGACATCAAGTAATGTTATTTTTTAAAAGCGTGTAACACTTTTCAAAATTGTGTATTGTGAATAGCGAAGCGAGTTGTACCGAAGCAAAGGCTTCGGCGAACCGCTACTTCCCCTCTTTTTGGTACAAAAGAGGGGGCGAAGGCCATTTGGCCTTCACCCACGTTTTCATTTCGAACTTCCAATTTCAAGTTTCGAGATTTTTCGTCCAAGCTGGCGAGGGTCAAGTCCCTACCTCGCTTCACTTCTCCGGCAACGCTCCTCTCCGACATCCTCGAGCTGAACTTATCGACGACGGTGCAGACCAACAATAATACCCCTCGGGGCTAAGGACTCTCCTGCTCGTCACTCGACGGGGCTTGGAAAAACGCCTCGGGAAACAAGCGCGGAGAAAAGAAAACGCCCTGCCAAGAATCACGCCGAAGGCATCCACACGGTGGTCGACGTGCTGCTCGGCGAGGGCGGTACAGTCGCGCGTCCGTCTCAGCCACGCGCGACGCATACGCAGGCTCGAGGGCCTGCAGGCGGCACCAATGATGGCGACTTCGTCGCCACCCCTGCTGCCGCCGCCACAGATCCGAGCGGATCTCGCACGCCCCCCAAGCGCAGGGCGACAGGTTCTGCTGCGTCAGACGGGGCGGCAGAGAATCTGTCACCCTCGCAACTTGTGGCACTGCTGTCGCTTCTTCAAAAGCAGGCCGCGGCTCCTGTAACGACGCCTGCAGCTACAACTGAAGCCGACATTTCCGCATCCGCTAAAACTGTAAATGCGCGCAACAACATTTCTACCTCCGCTCGTGTCGTCGCTCCCACCTGCGCCGACAAAGGAAAGGCGCCGGCCGTCGAAGAAGAGACGGCTGCCCCAGTCGACATCGACTCCGACTCTGACAGCGACGAGGGTGAGGAGCCAAACAATCCTTCCCCGCGTTTGTCTAAAGATCTCCTTGTTAAATTATAATGGGTTCTATGTTGGTAGGCTGTAGTGGGGTAGCCAATATGGGGTACAACCCCAACTAGGGTTTCATATTTGTACCCAAACTTCTGCTAGTTCATTCATTCTTGCCTAGTTATTCTGACATGGTATTCAGAGCAGGAGGTCCCTAGGACCTACCGACCGTTTTTTTTTTTTAAGGGCCCACCACCGCTCGCATGCGGTTACCACGCTACCCCGTGCCCTAGCCTCGTAGCGCCCTCGTGCGCCCTCGTTAGCGCCCTCGCGCGCCCCTCGTTAGCGCCCTCGCGCGCACCCTCGTTAGCGCCCTCGCGCGCCCCTCGTTAGCGCCCTCGCGCGCCCCTCATTAGCGCCCTCGCGCGCCCCTTGCTAGCGCCCTCGCGCGCCCCTCACTAGCGCCCTCGCGCGCCCCTCGCAGTGCAGCCCGCCCGCCCGCTCGCTGCCCGCTTCGCGGCCCGCCCGCCACGCAGCCCGCCCGCCCGCTCGCTGCCCGCTTCGCGGCCCGCCCGCTTCGCAGCCCGCTCGCTCGCTGCCCGCTCCGCGGCCCGCCCGCTTCGCAGCCCGCTCGCCCGCTCGCTGCCCGCTTCGCGGCCCGCCCGCCCGCTCGCTGCCCGCTTCGCGGCCCGCCCGCTTCGCAGCCCGCTCGCTCGCTGCCCGCTTCGCGGCCCGCCCGCTTCGCAGCCCGCCCGCCCGCTCGCTGCCCGCTTCGCGGCCCGCCCGCCTCGCAGCCCGCTCGCCCCGCTGCCCGCTTCGCGGCCCGCCCACTTCGCAGCCCGCCCGCCCGCTCGCTGCCCGCTTCGCGCCCCGCCCGCTTCGCTGCCTGCTTCGCAGCGCCGCCCGCTGCCTCACTGCCCGCTTGCTGCGTCCCCTCTGCTGCTGCCGCTGCTCTGCTGTGCCCTCACGCCTGAGCTATGGCCTCTATTCGCGTTCTTTCCTTCGATGCTGAGGGCCGTCCCGTGCAGTTCACTTCCTGGCTCGACGACCTGCAGTTGTATCTTATGAGCAATAGCACGGACCACATCTCCCTCTATGACTACGCGTCTGGTGCTGCCGCTGCTCCTGCTGCCACAGCCGAGCTTAGTGTACGTTCTCAGTGGCAGACGCGTGACGCTGCTGCTCGCCTAGCCATTCGCAGTCACCTGCCGTTAGCTGAGCTCGAGCATTTTGGCGACTGCAAAACCGCTAAGGCCCTATATGACGCTGTCGTTGCTCGCTACTCCTCACCTGCCACAGCCGAGCTTAGCCGCCTCATGCTGCCTTACCTGTTCCCTGAGCTGTCCACCTTTGCTACAGTCGCCGATCTTATCACCCACCTTCGCACTAGTGACGCTCGCCTGCGTGCCGCCCTTCCCACCGAGTTCTGCGCTAAGAACCCCCCTCCACTGTACTGGACACTCCACTTTATAGTCACCCGTCTCCCTGACACCCTCAGCTCAGTGCGCGACTATTTCCTTGCTCGCTGTCCCACTGAGCTCACTGTCGCCCTCCTAGAGGAGAAGCTGCTAGCAGCCGAGAAGAGCATTGTAGCTGTAGGTGCTGCTCGCGGCGCTCCTCGCACCCCCATCTTTGAGGGGTGTTCTCCCTCTCCCCTCGCTCCCTCCTACGCTACTGCTGCTGCTGTTGACTTCCTTGGTGCTGAGTCTGCTGGCGCTGCTTCTGCTCCTGGTGGGAGGCGCCGCACTGGCAAGGGCAAGGGGGGCAAGGGTGGCGGGGGTGGCGCTGGGGGGGGAGGGGGTGGGGGAGGTGGGGGGGGAGGCGGTGCTGGAGGGAGCGGTGGCGGGAGTGCCGGTGGGAGTGGGGCCGGCGGCGGAGGCGGGGGCGGCGGCGGGAGCAGTGGCGGTGGTGGCAGCGGCGGCAGTGGCGGCGGTGGCGGTAGTGGCGGTGGCGGTGGCGGTGGTGGCGGTCGGAGCGGAGGTAGTGGCGGCGGTGGAGGTCGGAGTGGAGGCACCGGCTCGGGCCAGAGCTCCCAGCAGCAGCAGCGTCCCCAGTCGACCCAGCAGCTTCGTGAGTGGCTTGCTCAGCGTGGGACGTCTGGGGGCAGTAGCCGCTGTTCCTATGTCATTCGCACAGGTGATCGCAAGGGACAGACGTGTGGGAGGTTTCACACCCCGTACCGCTGCTTCTTCCGCCTTGACGACGCTTGGCGTGAGGAGATGGGCGAGGATGTTGAGCGCCCTCGCTGGGCTGAGCTGATGAGGGCTGGGGTTGATATCTTTGCTCTTGACTATGATGCTATTATAGCTGCCATGTATGCATTGACTGTTAGTGCCGAGGGAGACTGTTACTTGTGTGTGCCGCCTGACCCAGGTATAGAGCCCGCTGCCCTAGGTACTAGTGAGTCTGCTCTCTCTGGTATGGTGCCCCCTGTACCTGCTCCCTCCTGCACTGTCCCTGCTGCTTGCGAGTCTGCTCTCTCAGGTACAGCACCCACAGAGACTGCTCTCTCAGGTACTGCACCGACTGAGCCCTGTCACACCTTCACCCTTGACTCAGGTGCCTCCCGCTGCTTCTTTCGAGACAGTACTGAGCTCACACCGCTTTCTGCACCGGTCCCAGTCTCCTTGGCTGATCCCTCTGGGGGCCCGGTCCTTGCCCGGTCCACCACTGTGCTCCCTTGTCCGGCGGTTCCGTCTGGCTCGTTGACAGGTTTCCACCTCCCCTCGTTCTCGACGAACCTGGTGAGCAACGCTGTCCTCCAGGATCAGTGGGTTGACACCTTCACCCCTGGAGGACAGCGTGTGGCGATCTGCACGTGCTCCAGGACCGGCCGTCACCTGGCTACGTTTACTCGTCGGCCGGGGTCGAGTCTCTACACACTGACCACTGCGTCTCCCCAGGTCGCTGCTGTCGGTCAGGTGTCCGCGTCAGGTCTGGTAGCCCACGCCTGTGAGTGTCGTTCCCTGTCGCACCAGACTCTTCTCTGGCACCACCGCCTGGGTCACCCCTCCTTGCCACGCCTCCGTGGCATGCACCGTCGCCACCTTGTGTCTGGTCTTCCCAGGTCCCTCCCTCCCCTCCCTGCCTCGCCTGCGCCGCCTTGCCTTCCTTGCGTCGAGGGGCGGCAACGCGCCGCTCCTCACTCCTCCTCGTTCCCCCCGACAGAGGCTCCTCTGCAGACCCTCCACCTGGACGTGTGGGGCCCAGCCCGCGTTCGTGGTCAGGGCGGTGAGCGGTACTTTTTGCTGGTTGTCGACGACTACTCGCGTTACACCACGGTCTTCCCCTTGCGCACCAAGGGTGAGGTCCCTGCTGTTCTGATCCCTTGGATCCGCACAGTTCGTCTCCAGCTCCGCCGCCGTTTCCGGACGGATCTTCCTGTCCTGCGTCTGCACTCTGACAGAGGTGGTGAGTTTTCCTCCGACCTCTTGAGGACCTTCTGTCAGGCGGAGGGCATCGAGCAGACCTTCACGCTTCCGGACTCCCCACAGCAGAATGGGGTTGCTGAGCGCCGCATTGGCCTGGTCATGGAGGTCGCTCGTACCTCCTTGGTCCACGCGGCGGCTCCCCATTTTCTGTGGCCGTTTGCTGTCCGGTACGCCGCGCATCAGCTCAACCTCTGGCCCCGTGTCTCCTTGCCGGAGACCTCGCCCACACTGCGTTGGACGGGGGAGGTTGGCAATGCGTCGCGCTTCCGGGTGTGGGGTGCTCGTGCCCTTGTCCGCGATACGTCCGCGGACAAGCTCTCCTCCCGCACGCTTCCCTGTGTCTTCCTTGGCTTTGTCCCTGACGCGCCGGGCTGGCAGTTTTACCACCCCACCTCGCGCCGGGTCTTCGCCTCTCAGGACGTCACCTTTGACGAGTCGGTCCCTTTTTACCGTCTCTTCCCCTACCGTACTGCCCCCCTCCCTCCCCCGCCGCTTTTCCTTGCTCCTGGTCCCCCTCCGGTAGACCCCCTCCCCCCTCAGGGTCCTGCTCCTTCAGGTGTCTCTCAGGTAGACCCTCCTCCCGTCGCTGAGCCTGTCGAGGTCACAGGTGACTCAGGTGCTGCTGCAGGTGGTGCTGAGTCTGGGGGTGCTGAGCCTGAGGGTGCTGGGCCTGGGGGTGCTGGGACTACGGGTGCTGGAGCTGAGGGTACTGTGCCTGAGAGTTCGGCGCCTGGGGGTGCTGAGCCTGGGGGTGCTGCGACTGGGGGTGCTGAGCCGACGTATGCGGAGTCTGGGGGTGCTGAGTCTGGGGGTGCTGCGCCTGCGGGTACTGAGCCTGGGGGTGCTGCTACTGAGCCTACGGAGCCTCGGGTTGCTGCGTCTGGGGGTGCTCCGGTTCGGGGTGCTGAGCAGTCTCTCACACCACAGCAGCTTCGTGACTGGTACGTCCGGCGCTTTCGCCGTCCTCGTGGCTCGGCTGGAGCTGGGGGTGCTGG